GAGAATGAAGAAAACAAGATACAAGGGAAAGATTAGTCCAAAGGACTAATGGACCACAGCTACCAAGGCCTCCACCAGACTGAGTCCAGCACAACTAGACGGTGCCCGGCTACTGCCACAGACTGCTCTTACAGGGATCACAATAAAGGGTCCCGGACAGATCTGGAGAAAAATGTAGAACAAAATTCTAACTCACAAAAAAAGACCAGACCTACTAGCATGACAGAGACTGGAGAAACCCCACGAGTATGGCCCCCGGCCACCCTTTCAGCTCAGTAATGAAATCACTTCCGAGGTTCACCCTTCAGCCAAAGATTAGACAGCCCCGTAAAACAAAGAGACTAAGGGGCACAATAGTCCAGGGACAAGGACTAGAAGGCAGGAGGGGACAGAAAAGCTGGTAATAGGGAACCCAGGTTCGAGAAGGGAGAGTGTTGACATGTCTTGGGGTTGTTAACCACTGTCATAAACCAATATGTGTACTAACTGTTTAATGAGAAACTATTTGTTCTATAAACCTTCATCTAAAGTACAAAAAGAAAAAAAAGAAATGGTGTTGAACTAAAATAGTGCTAAAGTTCCTTTCTGTTTTGAGAGTAAACAGACACCAGTAATCTGTCCTGAATTAAAAATTTGAAACACCTTCTTTATTCAGAATACATGCTATAATCACAAGTCAGCAAGTTAAATAAGAGGTGCCCCAAATATTCTCATACTTGCTAAAATGAACCAGGAGCTAGCTGTAGCTGCAGATGAAATGAGAGGAGGTGGATTTTTCTGGCAGGAGTGTCGCAGGCGGCAATGCTATCTGTGGTGTGCAACAGCCTTGGCATAGGATCAAGGTAATCCTTTCCCAGGGTGTGTCTTTAAGATCACACTTCTATAATGGGTGATCCATATTTCCCGTTTTATCCTGCTAAATTAGACTGGTGAACTTCAATATTATTTTAAATTCATATGTGTGTTGGCACGGAGAGGAGTAATGAGAACAGAAGCTTTTTAAAAAAGAGAGAACATTAAAAGGAAGACTCAAAAAGGTTTTGGTATCTATGTGATAACTATATCTATGTGAATCTTTTTACTTTAAATAGCCGAGTTTCCATGACACTATTTTAAGACAACAGAATAATGTAAGTACCAGATTTACTTAAGCTTCTATGAATAAAACTTCATTGTATGATCAGAAAGAGATGGAAAAAGTAAATCAGTGAGAAAGAGAGCAAAGACAGAGAGAGAGGGAGGAGAACATTACAAAAACATGCTTTTCAAACAGCTATGCACATATAAAATGCATATTTTAAGAGCTACCGTCTAAGTCCTCTAAAATTATATTTATTGTCAAAACAGATACAACTACATCACCTTTCTCCTTAAAGGGGCAATGACCTAGGGAAGAACATGTGAAAGTCACATACAAGTAAAAAGAAGCTTTCATTTCCTGTCTATTAAAAAAAATAGAAACTTTAGTGTTCCTTTCACTTGGTAAAAAATCACAAAGTCATTCAATATAAAACAAAGAAAGTTTAGCTCCCTCATGGGGGAATGGGAAAAAGAAAAGAAGTAGGTACTGTAGAAAGAAGAAGAAGAGATAGAAAGAATGACTAGGAAGAGAAAGAAGGATGAGAAAAGTGAAACATGTCAAATGGATAAATAAGAATAAGGAACACAAATGTTGCAAAAATGCAAATTTTAGTTCATTAAAAGGGGGATAAAACTTACTTTCTTCTAAACTTGATTTTCTTCCTATATCTCCATTGGTGACACCACCCTTTACCCAGTTACCATTAAAATCTGGAAGTCCTCAATCTAAAGCGAGCTCCAGCTTAGATCTAACTACCAGTTCACAACAAGTACAGGGGTAAAATGTCCAACTTCTCTCTTCTCTCTCGCGGCCTTCAACCACTAGTTTATTGGCAGTTTATTGAATACACTCTGCTGCCTTTTACTTCTGTGCCTTTTAACTATAATACCCCGTGTTTACAATCCCCTTTGCCAAACAAATCAGCATTTCACTCAGGAAGCCCTCCCTGTCTACACCCTCTTCTCTCTGTTCCCATAATGTCCTACGCTAATCGCTTGCACTGTTCCTAACCTAACACCACGGTTATCTTCGGGGTGACTGTCTTTCCCACCAGACCGTGACCTTTTCTGTTTTATCTTTATAAACTCAACGCCTAACACGGGGGGCGGGGGGGGGTCTGGCACTCTTGTTGTTGTTGGCTGCTGTTGAGTCAATTCTGACTCATGGCAACACCACATATGCAGAGTAGAACTGCTCTGCAGGGTTCCAAAGCTGTGACTTTTGGGGAGCAGATCACCAGGCCTGTCTTCCCAGGCACCTCTGGGTGGGTCTGAACCACCAATCTTTCGGATAGTAGTCAGTGTTTAACAGATTGTGCCACGAAAAATGTTCACTGATTGAGTTTTCAAGTAAATCTGAATATGTTAGGAGAGTTCCCATACTGGATAGGAGCTGTGAGCTATATATAGCTTCATGATATTCTTTTCATTTCTACACACATTCTTTCCTTTTTGCCAACTGACTGACTCTTTGTAAAGCTCTTTATAATACTTATCTATAGAGATACACGACTTTATAATTCACACAGGTAATTCTTTTTATGACTTTGTTAGTCAAGGCATAACCTGTGGTAGAAACACCATCAAAAAGGGCTTATTAGAAGGGTCCTAGTATTTAAATGACTTACTGAACACATCTCCTCTGGGTTTCTGAGGTTCTGTCTGTATCTTGTTGTCAACTGTAATCCCGCTTGGAGATGTACTGGAGGCTGGTACTATAGTTGTCAGTCTGGTGGGTGGCCTTTTTGGGGGTGTTGGTGGTGGAGGTGTTCTGAACTCTGTTGATGGTGGTAGGGGCAGGGGTAGGGTAGGCTGTGGCGTTGGCTTTGGTGTAGATCTTGTTGCTGGCTTAGAAGTGGGCCTGTTGGTAATGACAGGAGGAATATATGGTGTCTTCAGTGGCCATCTAGTACTTCCAGCATCAGGAATCCAATTACTGTGTCCTCCATCACCCTTGAGAACAGTACCATTTCCCTTTGGTACATGAATTGGACCTGAAGGTTCAATCATGACTTTTGGAATATCTGAAAGAGTCAAAAGATTTAAATCAATGTTTTTACTTCCTAGAAAATTAAAACAGAAAACTAAAAAACACTCAAATAAATCCCATGACAACTAGGCTGCTTTTCACATTTAGAATATTCCCCTACTGTCAGCCAGGATGTTTTCCAAATAACAAAAACATGTGCATGTGTATTATACACACACACACACACACACACACACACACACGGGATACCAAAAAACCAAACCAAACCCACTGCTGTCAAATTGATTCTTACATATACAAATGTGCGTGTGTGTGTATATATACATATATATATACATTCATACACACACTAGCACATAGTCATCCATTGTTGTGTGCCGTCAAGTTGAATCTGACTCATAGCGACCCTATATGACACAGTAGAACTGCCCCATAGGGTTTCCAAGGAGCGGCCGGTGGATTTAAACCACTGACCTTTTGGTTAGCAGCCTGAGTTCTTAACCACTATGCCACCAGGGCTCCAATTCTGTTCTACAGGGTCACTATGAGTCCGAATTGATTCGATGGCAATAGGTTTGGTTTATTCATCCGTTAGATGTATGCAAAAAATATATTGGTGTTTCTGTAATGAATATGCATTATTTGAAAAACAAAAAGTTTTAAATATTTATAAAGTGGAAATCTACATCAGAAAGTAGGAAAAGAAGGGGTTTATCTGAACCATGAATATGATGACTTGAAAATAGTTTCTAAAACCAATCAACAATCAATGATTTTTAAAATGCACCGTGGGGCAGAGACATTCTAAATTTTTGTTGTTGTTGTTTTTTAACATGAGAAATAGAGAGAGAGAAAGTCTATGTTAAGTATCCCTATGCTATCTGTATATTATCAAATCATGTTTAGAATTATCTGGACTAATTTTTTTCTCATTTGCACTTCATGTAAATTCAACTCATGCAAAAGCACTTTGATTTAAAGTTCTACATATTGTTTTATAGTTTGTCTTCCTTCACCCTTACTAATTTATACAATTGCTTTTAAAAAAGAAATTTTCAGAGTCACCAAGATCATCTGTGGAATCTTCCCTCAATAATCTTTACCAAAAAGAATCAATATTTAATCTGCCTGTGATGATATACTCCAGACCGAGAAGTATGTGTGACTCTTCAAAAATCTTTTAATCCCCATGGGTCTATGCCTAACGATTTTCAGTAAATATTTTACTCAGGAGATTTTAAACATTGTCTATTGCCACATGAAATGCATGCTTAATTGTGGCCTTTGGTTTATACATTTTTCACGTTTCTCTACTAACATAGCCACTACTCCAAATATAGTTTATAAAAATTTAAAAAGCAAAAGAGCTTTGAAAGTAGAGAAAATAAATATGAGAATGATTTTCTTCACAGTAGAGTTGGGAGACAAAAAAACAGATGAACAAAAAATGTAGACTATATTCCGATTAATCCACCACCTAGAAGCTAATGCCAATGACAAACTAATATTTATTTCTGATTGTTAACAAAATCAAATTCTCAGGAAGGGCTCTACTATTCCTTTCTAGCTAAAGAAAAGCTAAGGAGAGATTTTCAAGAAGTAAATTTGAATGCCTTTAAAATTAGAATGTATTACTGAATTTTTACTTTTTAAAAATACCTGAGCTAGTGATTTATTGTCTGTGGAAAGCACAGACTAATACCACTACCGGCGAAGCTTCTACTTCTTTTATAAATAACCTTGTTTCTTGTCTTCCCTCACAATGGCCTTAGTGTAATCCTGTACTTCCTGCTGCAACTTAGAGCCTGGAGAGAAGTATTACTCACACACGCATCTCAGTCCATCGCCCTGGTATCCATCTTTACATTTACACTTGTAGGATCCGTGTACGTTGTAACATCGAGCAAAGGTGCTGCACCGATGTCGACCAAGGGCACATTCATCTATATCTGCATCAGAAAGTAGGGGAAGAAAGGTTTATTTGGGAGATGAATATGATGACCTGAAAATAGTTTCAAAACTCAATTCTTCATTTTTATTTTTGCAATGTGAAGGCCCATGTAACTGTTTAACGCCAATACCCTCCCCGACCGCTGACATCCCAGCCAACACGACAGTTAAGGCACCACAGGGAGCATTATGAGAAGAAACAACGCAGAGTAATTGTTGGGTTTTATTACCATGACATTGGTATTTGCCTCCAATGTACATGAGGTCGAAGCCTTTATGACACTTGCAGATGTAGCTCCCAAAAGTGTTGACACACTGCCTGAATCTAGGACAGGAAGCTCTTCCAGTAACACATTCATCAACATCTAGAAACATAAATCAATTACATCTTAGGAAGAGCAATGGCATGTTCAGATGGACCGGACTGTCAAACAAGTAACAACTATCTGCAAACGGTTGTCTGTCATGTAGTAAGCTGATCATAATTGTTATCCAGCTGGTTGCCCCCCACCACGACTTAAGTTCTACATTTTCAAAATTCAACTCATCACTGGATCTACGCTGTTCTTCTTCTCTTGCGCCCTGTCTCAGCACGTACTGCACCTGTATCCACCTAGTTGCTTGAACTATAAACACGAGTCATCCTTGCCAACACTCTTTCCCTTAACTCCCAAATCACGAAGTCCAGTTAATTCTACCTCAGAGAAGTTATTTGAATCCATCTACTCTTCTCTTCATTCACTACCACTACCCTAGTCCAGGCCACCATCTCCGGGGATAGACTATTTATTACAAGAGCCTCCAAACTGGTCTCTTTGCTGCCAATCTTACCCCTCCGAAGCAGGCTCGAACCTACGATCAAAATGATTTTGTTAAAATGGAAGATCAGGGAATCATGACTATGCTTAATGGTTTCTACTTTATGAATTAAATCCACATGCCTCACCATGTCCTTGAAGGCCCTGCAATGTGACCCCTATCTACCTCACCTGTTGTATTTAAGCCACTGGCCCTCAGACTACACTCTGCCTTCAGCCAAGCTCTCTCTCACGCAGTGCCCTGTTTGGCTGGTTCTTCACACAACTTATCCTCTAGGTCTTACTTTAGGGCTTTCCTTGATCATTGTTTTCTAAAGTGGACCCTTCCTGTTTTTCTCTCTCTTAGTGCCTCATGTTAACCATTAATATAATTTGCAATTTTATCAGGTATTTGTTTCTTTTCTGTCTCCCTTTATTAGAATATCAGCTTTGCGAGGATCAAAATCTTGTCTGCTTTTTCCATTACGGTATATACCTAGCCAAGAACAGTGTCTGGAATTTAGGCCAAAAAACCAAAAAAACCAAACTCGCTGCCATTGAGCCAATTCCAACTCGTAGTGATCCTATAGGACAGAGCAGAACTGCCCTGTAGGGCTTCCTAAGCTGTAATCATTATGGAAGCGGAGTGCAACATCTTTTTCCCGCAGAATGGCTAGTGGGTTCAAACTGCTGAAAAGCAGCAGAGTGCTTTAACCACTGTGCCACCAGGGTGCCTTTGCCTAAGATTACATATCTAATAAACAGTAGACCAGGTCTAAAACCAAAGCCCAGACTCTTAACTACTGTCTTCCTAACTAACAAGGAAGAAATAATAATAATCCTGTAGCACAACACATACAACGTAGCCCTATTTATTGGTTCAGCTTCATCACTCATCTCTCCCCTTTGCCCCTTACATTCCATATATACTGAGTCTGCCATGTTTCCCTAAACAATGTCCTCCCTTGAACTTTAGCGGCTTTGCACATATGGTTCCCTCTGCCTGAAGCTTTTGCCTGTCAGTCATCCTTAGGGAAGCAAGTTTCTATGGGCCATTAACAGACAGATCCTCTAAAGGATAGCTAACCACCTGACCTGATACAAGTAACTGCCTTTTTTCCTTACTCCCATCAGTATTCACCTTCTTCCTTTATCTAAGAGTGGCTGCTGATGGACATGCTGATTTTACTACTCACCGACACAGGTCCTCCCATCAGGAGCCAGCTGTAGGCCAGGAGAGGGGCACTGACACCGAATCTGTCCTTTGACAACATCACAGCCATACTGACAGTTTGCCATGGAGCACGTCAGGGCACCTGGAAGCAGAGTGTCTGGCTGACTCAGAGGGATAGGGAACAGACTCTGCAATTGAAAGAACTATGTTCTTCTCTTTTCCTGAAATTAGTGACACTGAATCAACAATGAAGACAAAAAGGCCTCAAGTATACAACATTCTAAAGACAGCCAAAAAATAGAGGAGGAAGACAGAAAAAATACCACCAGGGATGATTAAGAAGTGCATCAGCTTTGCTATTCTCTGGGGGAGACCTCTAATACTTTTGGTGGAATTAAAAGAGAAATTTAAAAACTTATCCTGCACAGATTATATGGAAATTTTTCCAGTGGTCAAGGACACTTGAGAATTGGGGTATTTTTCCAGCTTATTCAAGCTAAATGTTGTTCTTAACCACAACATTCAAGTAAGGTCTCAACCGCCCATTAAACTACTCCAGAGGACAGGGGGCGATTTACTACGGAGTTTTACTATGGCGTTGCACAATGTTAAAAGATTCTAGCATCACTGCCACACGTTATTAAACGCGTACTCACACCATTCCAAAAAATTCCATGCTCTGTTCATGCAATGCTAAATAAGATTAGCCAACCTTTTTATGTTATAAAATGCAACGGTTAACTGATAATTCAGTGACAATAAAAATCAAGTCACCAACAATGATATGCCATGTAAACACAACTTCCATTCAATGTTTGGCCTGCAGAGAATTTTAGGGCACTGTTCATCTTATAAACACACTCAAATGATAGTAGGAACACCAAAGATACACATAAAATCTACTTTGCTTATAGTATAGGCGTTTATCTTTTTTCATTCAAAGTAGGTATTTTTTCAGATAAGAGAAGTAACTTAATCTTTAGACCATTATAAAGAAATGTAAAAATGGAAGAGATATTTATGAATGATTTACAATCATTCAACACATTTGATGGATTTTCTACAGCAAACAGAGTGTGCATCTTTATGAGTAGCACAAAATTGCCCAAAGAGTCACTAATGTTCTTTTTCTATCTGGAATAATTTACTCTATGTCCAGGTAAAAGACAGGGAAAATTATGTTGGTAAAGACATGAGGAAATACACTTAGTCTTGTTGTTTGTGTTCTAAATACCATTTAACATTGGCACCCACAGTAAACGAACACTATACATCTAAAATGAACATCTCTTATTTTGATTTTCATTTCTTTAGGCATGCATATAAACACATGTACACATCCTGTTTAGGAGGCCTGGGAGGCCATTTTCACAAAGGCAGGTTACCAGAACGCAGCATGAAATCAAGCCCAAAGCACTTGTAAAACAGTTAAGACTCTCGACATACTTGAGCAAGACCCATCCGGCATGAGCATATATCCGTTGAGACAATAACACTTGTAGCTGCCGTAAGTGTTCATACACCTGTGCTTACAGGGCCGCGGCTTCAGGCCACACTCGTTTAGATCTGAAAAGAACAGGGGTGGAAGTGGAAAAATCACAAAACCTCAGCACTACTGTAAAACATTCAAAACACTTCTCTATATTGAAGACTAAGTCAGAAAAGTGGGCTAAGCTATAGTAAAATGTTAGTTATACAAGAGATAAATCCTGTTCAAGCAATCTTAATTTGAGTATCGGTTATACTAGGGGCGACCAAAAGTTTTCTATCCTTGGTGACCTAAAGCCTTATAACAATGAGAAGGTCTTATGGATTTCTGAGGCTTAAATTTTGTGGTACACGTGATCTCTGTCCAGACAGGACTACCTTGTCATCCCTAGAAAGAGCAGCATACTAACTCCCTCATGGGTGTTGCTGTTGTTATGTGCCATTGAGTCAATTTTCGACTCATAGCAACCCTGTGTGACAGAATAGAACTGTCCGCATAGGATCTTCTAGGCCTCGTGGTGCAGTAGTTAAGCACTTGGCTGCTAACTGAAAGGTCAGCGATTCCAACCCACCAGCCCTCCACTGGAGAAAGATGTGCCAGTCTGCTTCAGTAAGGACCACAGCCTTGGAAACCCTATAGGGCAGTTCTACTCTGTCAGATAGGGTCGCCATTAGTTGGAATTGACTGGATGGCAAAGGGTAATCTTTACAGGACCAGAAATCCAGGTTTTTCTTCGAGGAGTCACTGGACGGGTTTGAACCACCAATCTTTCAGTTAGCACCAAAGCACATAACTATTGTGCCTCCAGCGATCCTCAAATCATCTCTCTGACTGACAATATCCTTAAAATATCTGGGTTACTTCTAGATTCACTCTAGGCAATGTGATCTTACTCTGTCAGTATCTTTCTTTCTCTGTTTAAACATGATATCACATGAGCCTATTTTACTTTACAGGAAGTATACAGATTTTAAAACATTAGAATGCTTTGACCTTCCCAAAGGAAACTTTATTTTCAGAGAGTAAGAGCTGCATGAAATTGAGTGACCGTTATCGTGGTCTTTCTCGCTCAGTCCTGTAGACTATATACTGTTTCAGATTAAAAAAGGAAACTTCAGTTTCTTACTTTAGTAATGCCTTCAAATCACAAATGAACTAAAAAAAAAAAAAGTCCCTTCAACAGATTTTCATTCATTTATTTCATTTCATTAAGGAGGACATATAGAAATACTAATGGATAATAAATAATACTCTATGATTATGCACTTTGGGTTTACTGGTTTAAATATCAATGTTAAATGAATTAGTGAACTTCTCATCATGAAGGATTTTCAATCCATGTGGAGCGCTGCCTCAAGTGAACATAAAACTCATAATGACAAACACTGAAATAGTAATGCGCAAAATACAGACTTCATTAAACAGAAACGTGACATGTTTATTTTGTCTAGAACCACCTGATTACCATAATTTAATTGTCTAATTTATCTGTATCATTGAATCAGAAATACAGATTATAAAATATCTAGTTACGTAGTTGTTCCCAAATTAAATCAAATTTAAATCTGATCTCCTCATTTATTAGAACCCTATATATTTCATTGAACTAAACCAGCAGGTTATGTTTTAAAATCACCAGAAAATTATTGCATCTAAAATTTTTTCATACCCTACTGACTTTCTAACTTAATTCTTTTTTCTACCTGTGCCGTAACTGGAAGCAGATCCCTAGCTGAGTGCAACTTTAGAAAGGTGAAATGAATAAACCAGATACCTGTGTTATCTCCGATGCTTCTCTTCAATTCTCTACTTTACTGTCTCTTGCTCAGTCAAGGGTATTCACATTAAAACCACATTTAAAAACATTTCAGAAGAAATTTTTCCTCATAGAAGGTACTTTGCAGATTACACTATCAACAAAAATTTGATTTCTCCCTCTATTAAGTAAAGTAAAAATTTTTACTCAAGGAAGAAAGACTGAGAAATTCTATCACCTTCCCATATTCTTCTACCTTGTATTTCAATACTTACTGAAAGTTAGAGACAGAAAATCCTTTCTCAGTTTTGAAGAGGAGTTAATCATCATTTCTAATACAGCACACCTGGTTTTGATAAATCTCTGAATTGTATAATAGCAAATACTATTTAAATCTGCATACATTGTTAGAGAAAGGTTTTGTGTTTTAACTATTTTTCTGCACTAAACAAAAACAAAGCAGTAGAACAAAACTACACAGTAAGATTGAGTTTGACATCTCAAGGGAGGAATAGTGGTAGATATAAAATAACTGTGCATGAAGAACCCTTATGATTATTTTTAAAGAACCATAGAAACTTTTGTGGGTTCCTAACGATACATAGTAAATGGTCAGAGGAGTACAGCTCCAGGCAGCTTATAAAAAAAGATATTAATGCTGATGGAAATACCATCAGATACCTTATCAGTGGACTAAAGCTGAACCCAGCTGATGCAGCTCTTCCACAACCTGGCTCCGGACTTGGAATAAAGGGCCCCTTAGGATTGCTTTGTGGGGTCTTCATGACCTAAACTGAGGCTGCTTGTGGTCTTAGAAACCTGCTTCAACCCAAATTTTTCCTTGCCTTCCCATGGTAAAAGTACTTTGGAGTAAAAGATTGTGATATTGAAAAAAAAAAAGAGAGATAAGGTGTCATCATGCCCCAAAAAACTGGGAATCACTCTGAAATAATACGGAAAGGGAAATAAACATGCAACCTTCAATGGGTAAATGTAGAGACGTTTTGTTGGCAAAATGTTCTTCTCTTTATTATTAAAATGGCACCGAAGTATTAAAATGCATTGACAGCAATTTGAGGGAACTGTACTCCAACAACTGTTGATGGGCTGGATGATACTCCTTGACAGCTGGCCAGTGTTGATCTCCCCCCGGCTGCCATTATTTCCCCATCTGGCACAGGCACGTGTCTCCTACAAACTTCACAACGACCGTTACAAAGACCTCTGCAGAAATTATGAAATAGGATCCACAGTCATCCCTGATTATCAATATTTATCAGATATTGGACTTCTCACTACAGCAGGGAGCTTTAAAGGATGAAAAGCATCTGGAGAGCTGGTAAACCTCTTTTTCTTCAATATTCTTCAGAGTTTCTATTCTATGATTATTATACCTTATTTTCTTATTGACCTAATGCCTTATAAAGTTGAGTTAGTATGTGCTGCTCCCAATAACTGCTGTATTCTTTATCGCAATCTGTTGGAGTACAGCTCTAGTAACACCTGTGTTACCATATTAAGTCAGAAATTCAAAAATGGTATTTCCAAATTATAGTGAACTGCTCCCATATTAATAAGCAGAACAACAGTAGGAACATGAAAACCCTCCTGATGACACTGTCTCAAATCAATCCTAAAAGGTGATCAGAGAACCTAGGAAAGAACATTTTAGTTGTTTTCTTTTCTTTTTTTTTTAAGTTTACTTTATTCTTATTATTTCTTTGGCAGCTTATAAGGAAAATTAATTATCAGGAAATTATAACGAATTATAAGGAAAATCTACAATGAAAAGATATTTAGTGAAATCCATCATGTACCTCTTATCATTCCAAAAGACAGAACTTTACAGTTAAACCATTTATATGCAAATGCTATAATTATGCAACACAATGCTTAAAGAGCAGGTATTACAATGAGGAGTACATTTAAGCAGGTTGGTGGATTTGGGAGCTTGGCAGGGGTGCAGGGAGGGGGTGGTGGAGAGAAGACAGCTAGTCCAGAACAGAAATGCAAGCTGCATAGCATTATTATTACATTTCAGGAAAAAAAGAACCAGAAATTTTGTTAACATGCAGATCACTGAAAATTAGCTTGAAAAATCTTGAAGAGATTAAAATCTTGAATAAAATAACCCAGTGGGTTCGTAAGGAAAATAATCTTTCATTGATTTTAATGCATTTGGACTATTTTTCCCTTTGAGGCTTACACTAAGCAACAATTCAGAAATCTAAGCTCATAAATTTTATCTGACTAAAGTGGAAGGCATAGACAAACAGATGTCAATATGTCAACTGTCATTATTTCTATTCTATATCAATGACTCAGAAGCTAGTATCGTTGCCCTAATCCCTTGTGTAGAAGAGACATAAATGCATCAAGTTCCCTATCAGCAGAGAGACAGTAATTAATAATTTAATCTATTTTAATTCAGTCATTCTAAGTTCCTAAATCTGTAAGTCGATGAGAGATATACTCCCTTAGAAGAAGAATTATAAAATAATGCTACCAACTTATTTTTCTGTAAAACTTTCCAGCATAATGCAGAAATTATTTTCAGTGTTCTGATTTTAACACCAACCCTGCATTCAAGTAAGGCAGGCATTACTCTCTCCCTACTGTTATAGATTACATTCCTAAAACCCAACTACATTAAATGGCTTACTCACAATTATGCAGCTAATTAAGGGCTGTACTGGAATCAGAAATCAAGCTTTCTAACATTACAAAATGTACACCAAAGGAAAGAAGCGGATGTAACCTTGGTTTCCAGATAATTTAAACTCTACACCCCAGATAGATGGTCGTGGGAAAACAAGACTTGGTAAAAAAATCTGCTCGGTAAAAGCCATCAAAACCCCAGTCTCGGTTGCTTTGGAATTCCTGACTTCTGTTACATATGAAAACAAAAGTTATTTTGCATATCTGATTTTTAGAATATGCGAGAACCCCAGAAAAGAAGAGGAAGAGCAACGATGCTTGATGTATTGACAGAACAGTGGAGGCTTCCAGGCTTTCAGGAGCACAGAGAATCAGCACCAGGGGGCAATTCCTGCTGCTTGCTTCACATGCTCAGGATGCTGAAGACTGGGTGCTCCTGGGCTAGTCTTCCACATGTGCAAGAAGGGACATAACTGCAAGAAGCCGTGCAGGTGGAAGGGGCAGACCACCTATGACAATGCACGCTCACCCCTGGAAGGTAAACTTGTGGCTTGATGATCCGAGGGTTGGAAAAGAGGCGGTTCACTGCCTTGGTCGAGAGGAGTTGGGTAGAAGAGTTCGTCTTCACACCAGGAAGAAGGTAATAGGAGACAACTTTGAACTGATGTCATTTTTAGCCCTAAAAATCTTTATAAGTATATATTAAACCATTACAGAAAGTGGTTGGCATTTAAAAAGAATGCGTTTAGATCATTTACAAAAAAAAAAAATTACTTTCCAGTTCTTTTGGTCTTTCATTTTTTAATTTTCCTAAAATCTCTCACTGCCATCTTTCTACCTAAGAAGACACGTGCACATTACAAGTTACCAATTCATGATTTGCATACCAATTTTAAAAGACATTAAAAAAAAGCATGATGATTTTTAAAAGAATGCTTTTAGTCATCGATAGAAGACTCAGTTAAAAAAAGAAATTATACAAATACTGGTTACAATCAATCTGTTCTATTTAGGGACCTTGAGGCCTTAATGGACTAACTTATGATTTTTCCTGTATTATTATATTGCACAGTAATACAACGGTACAATAGTTTATAACACTCCAAAATTATGGAGAAATTTATGATTTGCATAAAGACCTTATTTAAATAAATAACATGATAGATCATCAAGAATTTCAGTCAAATGTAAGAACTTATGCTACATTTAGGTAGCACTTAATAAGAATATACATAAGAAGTGTTGTGCTAAAAATATTAACTGTTGCCATTATTAGCTTACCAAAATCTATAAGATGGGTGAGAATCAAAGTTGAGAAACAATAAATCAATCACATGCTGTTTCAAGGCATTAGCAGCCAGTTAAACTTCCAAATGAAATGAACACTGGTTTCTAGGGTTGAAACTACACATTTTTCAAAAAATCAGGCTGTCAGCAACAACCTTAATATTAGGGTTAGGTATTTAGACTGTTGTACTTAAGACAGCCATCAGCTTTCAGATTTAACTAGTCCGCCAAAGTTGACTAGCTCTGTGCTACAAGACACCAATTCTTTTCTTGGGATGAGGAATTCAATCTATGAAACATAAACCTTGTGAAAACAGCAGTAATTGAGATTGGTAAATTGTTTTTTCTGAAATTTACAACACATGCTGTGAATTCAAAAGAATAATTCTTTCATTCCCCAAAACATGCAATGATATGATATTTTACATGCTAATGATCACTCCCCAGTGGAAAAGCTATATAACAGTATTCTTTTTCTGGCTGGGGGTGGATAGGGGATTTGTATACATACGAAGACTCAAAGAGAGGGAAAATATCCATGAATAAAATTACTGGAGAAACTAAGGGGGTAGGGAAGCAAATGATCAAGGAGACTCTAGCCAGAGTTCGTATTAGAATTTCGAGTACTGTGAAAGGTACCACGTGCCTCATACAGCACGGTAATGATCAGTCCCAGCCTGTGGTTTTATATCTGATCTAAATAAACAAACAAAAAACCCAAACCCGTTGCCGTTGAGTCTATTCTGACTCGTAGCAACCCTGTAAGACAGAGTACACCTGTTCCCATAGGGTTTCCAAGGCTATAAATCTTTATGGAAGCAGACTGCCACAGGCTAGTCCGGAGGAGTGGCTGGTGGGTTTGAACTGCAGACATTTTGGTTAAGAGCTGAAAGCTTAACAACTGGGCCCCCGGGGTTCCACAGCTGAACTAGTTGCAGAAAACCCATAAAATGACTCAGAAGGAAGAGCAACAGCACCAACAGCAATCACCAACAGCAAACTCACACAAAGCTTGTGACAAGGCTGCTAAATTAAGCCAGTTCCAAAATGCAGCTTCCCCTGCTGTTCTGACGGCTCCCCAGGCACCTCTAAAAGCTCTCCTTAAGCGCATGTCATTTATTCAAGCTGCTGACTCCACCAAGCATGCTTCCAGGGGGTTATTTCTTAAAGCACCTAACTCACAACAAAATTCTCAGCAAATACTGGCTTATACCAAAAGCTACTTTTAATCAAAAACTAACTTTCAGTACTGTGAAATTACTTCAACTTTACATCTTGACGTTTCTCTCCTAGAGAAAAAAATCAACCAGTTTAATTTCCCATACCTCTGGGGCATGTTTTTCACTTTGTTACAATTTGTGGGCAAGGATTAAAAAAAAAAGTCAAAGTTAATTTATTTAGCAGATAGAGACAATTTGCTGTAATGACTTTTATGGGGCCACTAAGCAGGTCTCACAGGAGTCCCTGGGTGACATAAACAGTTAAGTGCTTGGCTACGAACCAGAAGTTTGGCGGTTAGAATCGACCCAAAGGCACCTTGGAAGAAAGGCCTGGCGATCTACTTCTGAAAGATCACAGGCATTGAAAACCCCATGCAACACAGTTCTACTCTGAAACGTGTGGGGTCGCCATGAGTCAGAATCGACTGGATGGCCACTGGTTAGCTACTCAGCTCCCACACTTACCTAGGTCACTCACCGTAGTCTCAATCTGACAGGGCTTTTGTGGAGAATTCAGAGACTGTCTAAGGTACTGGACCAGACAAATCCATGGAACTCTTTCAAGTTCCTATGGCTGCCAGGACCAAGAACCATTATATGAAATAGTCATCTGTTTAAGCAATATTTAATGTGCACTTACTATGTGCAATCACTTTAACAATAGCTTCAAAAAAAAAAAAAAACCAAACCCACTGTGTTGAGTCGATTCTGACTCATAGTGAGCCCATAGGGCAGAGTAGAACTGCCTCATAGAGTTTCCAAGGGGCACCTGGTGGATATGAACTGCCGACCTTTTGGTTAGCAACTGTAGGGCTTCTTTGGGAACCCAAAAATCAGAGAGACATGACAAGGGGCTCCTGCTCTTCAAGAGCACACACCTTTTCATCAGGAGCCCACTACACTACTTTTTGTAAGGAGGGAAAAGTAAGGGATGGTTAAAACAGGTATGTTATCCTAAGCTTGAGTTTTATTTTCAAGATCGGACCTGATGTTACGTTTTCCGTGTTAGCACTAGTTTTGCAAGTGTAAAAACGTATTTTGCTACTAATGAAATCCTCTTCCCCCTGAGGACTATGGTTTTGGAAATCAATGTTTTAACTCAATATATTTCAATTTTCCTTTAGAGAAACAGGTATATGTTACAGGCAAAAGCTCAAGGGAAGTTGCTTTCCTGAAAACAGGAGAGAACCAATGATGGACCCTCATTCCAACAATAGCTTTAGTGTCTTTGAAGCATATTCAAGTTGAGGTAGCTCCTGAAAATAAATTTAAATCAATTTCTCTACAGTCTTAAAAATAGCTTTTTTTAAATAGATCTCTTTATATAATTCTCTGGTATCAGGACAATGAAGTTTTGTGGCACTGATATATTAATGAAACCTCTGATGATTTATGTTTACCAATTTACAAAAAGAAGTATACTGGGATTCTAACATGAACACTGATAACTCAACAGCCAGAACCTAACATGTTGCCACTGTGAACTCAGGCTGGGGAAAGAAAATCGAATGGATTTTTAAAAGAGTAAACTGAGCTCATAAGAACATCATCATTTCAAAAAGACTGCCCAGGTATACTTGGTAAAAGAAAAACCAATGTTTAAAAAAAAAATTTAGAAAAGAAGCATTGGAAAAATTAGTTATAAATCAAGTAGCAGATAATACAAGGACACATTTCAGAATAACAGCTCATTCTATCATTGAACACGTCACATTTTACTAGAATGGGTTTCATCTGGTAGTTCAGGAAAAATTACATATACTTTCAAACATCGTGTTCTGGATTGTGGTGAAAACTATGTTTGTACATCACTAGTTTACATGACACACCTCAAGGAGTATCCTGGAATAAATACCAACTATTAACAAGTAGGAGTGTTTCAACAATATCTTTTCTGTATCATGGGATATTTAAAACCCACGTCATGGTTTCATTTGATACTTCAAATGATAGGGGGAATTACTTTAATTTTAAAAATAAGTAAAAATTGACTCTTTTCTCTTTCTAGTTAAATCTGACCCTAACCAAAAACCAAACCCACTGCTGTCAAGTTGATTTCGACTCATAGTGACCCTACAGGACAGAGCAGAACTACCCCATAGGGTTTCCAAGGAGTGCCTGATGGATTCAAACTGCCAACCTTTTGGTTAGCAGCCGAACTCTTAACAACTACACCACCAGGGTTTCCAGTTAAGAAGACAGCCTTGTTAAAATTATTAGCATGAGCCAGAGCATCACATTTCCAATTACATTTTCTTCATCCACAACTAATATGGTAGAAAAAACATGGACTTTTTTTAAACAATAGCTCTAAGTTGACATCCTATCTCTTTTACCAACTAATTTAGTGAACTTAGTAGAGGCACTTCAAATCTCTAAGCTGTAGAATGAAAAATGAGTAATAATAATTTACTAACTGTAACTTAATTATAATAAATAACACTGTACCCCCTAATGTTGTAAGGATGAAAACAGTTAATATATGTAAAATACCTGGGAAGCAATGTTTGATTTTATAAGAAACTGATGCCAATTAAGTATGATTTGCTGAATGAATCATTTTATTTCTCAAAGGAATATTTCAAACTGGTCAAATATTGAAGGGAGATTTAATAACAGAACCAAAGTTCTCAGAGTTTGAAGGAATGTCAAAATTTCAAGTCAAACCTCCTGCCTGCCTTCTGTCATTAAGGAGGTTTTACTTAAGTAGTAACTGAGGTTCAAAGAAGTTAACAATTTGCCCAAGGCTACCTGGCTAGCTCATGGAAGAACAAGGAGTGCCCAGAGTTACCTCTCCTGGTGCAGAAATTCTCTTCAAAACACATTTTAATTAGTTTCAGAGACTAAGAATAAGGTGACATTGTTTATTGTCCTCTGATGAAAATAATTTAAGAATATTTACCATTATCATATTTTTATCTATTAACAAAATGGCAGCTCACATATTTGAGAAAACATAGCTATCGCGAGTGGTTTGGGATGAAAATTTAAAGTTTTTTAGATTTGGCAGGAATAAAGGCGGCTTATGATTGTGTATTTGTGTCAGACTGTTTTCCTACCTTGATTGCAGGTTTTTCCAGCATATCCGGGATGACACTTGCACTTGTTCGGTCCGACACATTCACCGTGTTTGCACTGCGGTTGACACACAGCTGTGAAAAGAGGACATCTTGCATTATTTCTATGCCAGCAGTGCATCAACCAGATAGTATCTCTGCCACGTACAAGTTTGATAATAAAAGAAATAACTTACAACAGAGGAGCAAAAATATATAAAATTACTGTTCCTTCAGCGGTAAGCACTGTCTAAACTACATGTGTTTATGTTTGTATGAATATGCGTGTGCGTGTGTGTGTGTGTCACTTGGGCCTGGAAAATTTGCTAAAACAAAACAGTAAAAACAAAAAATACATATATGTATATAAATATATATATAACTATGCATAAGCATAACTGATGTTAGTCAAAAGTTATAATTTTACAATTACTTGTATCCCTAATTTCAAATTTATTCTCCCAAATACACTTCAAAAAGTAGTTTTATTCCAATGATATTGGATATGTATGAATCCAGATCAATTTCAAGTTAAATTATAAAATAAATATTTCATTGGAAATGGTATCACTAAGTGTGAAGCAAGACAAAATGAAATAAAAACTAAACCTCATCATTTTTTGGAACTTCAGTTTAAGAATACGTCTATCATCTTTATCATCCTTAACTCCAAGGTGCATCACAATTGCTCATCAATCTATAGTGGCTTTTCTATAGTCTATCACAGCAAATACAAAGTTCTCAGTTTGACATTATCCTCTATCAACTAAGTTCTTCTTCCCTGAAGACCTCAGAATGATTTAAAGCATCTCTTGGTCTTTTCATAGGTCTTTACATCCTGCCAAAATATCAGTTAGAATTCATTCTATTTACTCTATACCAGTGGTAAAATGATTTAAAGCATCTCTAAACTAGTGGTATAAAACACTCTATACTAGATTATTAAAATAGTTATGTTTATCTTGTTTTAATAATCAACTGGGTGTGCTTTTGCTCCTCAGGGGACATTTGACAATATCTGCAGATATTTTGGTTGTTGCAACTTGGGAAGGGGTGCTACTGGCAGCATCTAGTGGGTAGAGTCCAGGGATGCTGCTAAACATCCTAAAATGCTCACACTGCCACCTTCACAACAACAAATTATCCAGCCTAAAATGTCATGACGCCAGGATTAATAAATCTTGCTCTATTGCAAATATGTGCAAAGTACTTTGTCATGTACTACAAGAGATGAAAAAGAGTTATATAGCATGGTCATTGGTCTCAAGGAGTTTACAATCTAGATGAAGAGAGAAAACAATCACGTATTTTTAACTCAAGTCAACATTTATTTATGAGCAAAACAGATGGCACATATATGTGAAGAAATTGTCAAATGAGAAAATCCATATGGATTTGTACAGAAAGCCTTGTACAAGAGGACTGAGTTGGATCTTAAAGCATGGGTAGACAGAGAAGGGAAAAGAATATTGCAGTGCCATGGATTGCTTTTGTGTGGTCTTTCTAGCCATGGTCTTGTAACTTCCACCCAAGTGATTGGGCGGGACTGTAAAGATATGGTAATGGTGGCCCACCAAAGGGATTGGTCAATTTTGCCATCCCACTGGGGTTGAGGTGAGCCATCCCAGAGGTGGGAGAGAGAGAATCCCACCACCACCAAGGAAGAACAACCAGGAGCCAGCAAGTCCTTTAGACCCAGGATCACTGCACTGAGAAGCTCCTGGACCCAGGAGACAGACAGAAAGCTGTAACCCTGAAGATGCTGAGAAGCAGTGGCAGGAGAGGCCTGGCAGCAGAAGATGGCACAGTGGGCTTCCCAGCACACAGAGATTGAAAGCTGAGTACCTTTGGGCAGAGGCCTAGGGCTAGAGAGAGGTGTGCCTGCGAGCACAGCTGAAAAGAGGCTAACCTGACAGAAGAACTGTATTCTGAGTGTTCCTGAGCCTGGATTGTAACTGTTACTTCCCTAATAAACCCCAAAATCATGAGTACTGTCTGTGAGTTGTGTGTGGCCATTGCAATGAATTATTGAACTCAGTAGAGAAGTACAGAGTGCTGTGGGAGGGATGGTTGGTGTCAGAATTGGTAAAGATGGCAAAGAGAAGGCATGTCTGACCCCCACCTCATAGGAATCATCCTTGGGTTGTTGACCTTGATTCTCCTTCTCCCTGGTGAAGTTAGAGGAGCACAGTCTGCCTCCATGCCATTTTTATAGTTGGTGTTAAAAGTGGTATTCTTTGCAATGGCTCCAGACTCATGGAAGCATGCACTTTGTAAGAGAAAGAACGAAGGGGCTTGGGAAGTGAAACTTTAGATGCCTGGATGGTTGCTTTGGTTGTTGTTGCCTGTAATGACTGAAGGAAAGGTTATGCTGCAGCTGAGGGGAGAAAAGCCCCACCTGGAGTGGCCTGGGGCAAAAGCCAGGCCAGATAAGCAGGATGATTGATAGGGGGCCAGGATCTCTGGTTCCACCCAGTCAGAGGCCCAAGGCCATATGCATATGAATGGGAAGATAGTAAGGTGTAGGGAAGATAGTTAAGGTGTAGAGAAGAGAAGATGCAACTGGAATGTTTTAAAAAGCATTATGTATTTAGGATTATGTGTTTATCTGAATGTACTATGGATATGAATGTTTCTCCCACATACTGTTGTAAAGCAGACCTAAATATATGGTAGAAATGAACACTGCGTATTATAGATTACAGAAAGCGTGTAACTCCACCTTCAGCCAATACTTGACTGGATATGCTAAAAGGGGAACTAGGATGTGCTCAAGGGAAACACACTCTGTTTGAATACAGTAGCCCTGTGTATAGAGCCCTGTGTATAGGTAGAAAACCAGAGCGCCACCCAGATTTGCATTTGAAAAGACATGTAGAACCACCCAGCACTGGAGATTTGCATTTGAAGGGAGGACCTGCAGAAGGAAAAAAATTGACTGTTTTGCTTTTTGATTCCAAGCAAGTGGTTTGTTGTTGGATGCATTGAGGCAGTAAAAGTCAGTGCCCGTCAAAAGGAACCGCCTTACAGGACTGGAAGTTAAAGGGAGCTGGAGAGCAGACAGCTTGGTCTGCTTGCTTGTGGTGGCTACCTGGGTCCACTCAAAGAGTGGAAGTGGGGGAAGAGCAGCAATGAAGAGACGGGCTGAGTCTGGACATGTTCCAACAATGTCAACAATGGCGCCGAGTTTTGAAGCCCTTGACACTTGCTCCTTCCCATATTAGCTCTTGCTGTTCTCCAATCTGGGATATGATCCCAATTTCCTCTCTGACAATTCTCAAACATTGTTTTCTTCAAAACGTTAACATTCCCGTAAAACTGATGTGCATACTACTCTTGTTTTCTCACTGAACTCTCATTAGCCCTTCCTTCACCTGGTATTCCACAGGTCTGATTTGCCAAGTACACTGTCTAGGCCTTTCTTGCTTGTTTGCTTGTCACCCCAAACTGGATCCTGCCCTCCTACTGATCCTTAGTGCTGCTCGGTAGGTTTTAATTAAAAAGCTTGCAGAAAGAAAGGATGAGCAGAGTGTAAATGGTAAAGAAATGTACTTGGAAAACTTTTAAAGTCTGATTTTAGACATGGCATCAAATTCAAAGACAAGCAATTTTGTTCAGATCTGCAAAAAGAAATTAACTATCCAGGAGAGCCTTACAATATTACTCTTCAGTCGATTATATCTCTGATAGATGGTTTATATGCAGTTTTAAAAACAGGGCCTAGAAACAATTCTTTGTGACTCCAGGCCCTATAAACAAGAAATAAAAAAATTTTAAAGTGTTAAGAATTAAAAAATCTTAATTTAAAATCTGAATACAACCTGAATACATTCAGCATTGCTGAGGCACCCAATGTTATATTTAAAAAGAAACGGCAAACATCTCAAAATAATTAAATACAAGTCAAATCATTTAACAACCCCCACCCCCGCCAAGAATTTTTAGACTTTAAAGATACCTCTTAAAAATACAAAAAGAGTAGTTTAGAAAATATCACTTAAAAACATGAAAAGGCTTATTTAGGAGAAGCACTTTTTGAAACAATTCAACTCGAAGCTCCCAGTCTGCACTGCCATTTGAACTCCCTGACCAAATTAATGAACATTCATTTATAGTGCTTTTAGGTGCTCTATGGAAGAAAAGTTTTTATTGTCCCCCTTCTTTCTTTATTGTTTGTTCTCAGTGGGCGGCCTAATCTTGGGCACATCAAATGTATACATACCAAGAGGTCAAGACTGTTAATGTTTCTTACATGTTTATGGAGTCAGTATCTTACATTGCTATTTGCACTCTGAAAATCAGTTCAAGTAACCAACCACACTTAGATTAGCCAACAGCTATTAAATGTGAGAGTTTTTATCATCTTTTTTTTTTTTTTTCTTTCTTTTTACAAAAAGAAAACTCCTTGGAAAATGCTGAACAACAACATTTTGTCCTATGATTTTGCCGGCATTATGTCGGGAACTGAATTCAATAAACATGTACTGAACATTTGGTATATACCAAGCACTCTACTAGGCAAATCTGGTGGGATGAGAGAGTCACAGAGGAGATGAAACATTAATTGTGAAACTATAATATTTTGGCCAAATCATGACAAGAGTTATGAGGGAGAGATGAGAGAGCAGGGTAGAGGCCGTGTACCGACTGACGGCAGGTCCTAGAAAGGCTTCATGTAGGAACTGTGACCTGAGGAACACCTTAGAGCTAAGAGGCAGACAGTGAGGATGGGAGACAAAAGTCTTTCAGAAATGAGCAAAAATGGGGGGCATGAAATGATGAGTGTGCTAGTGTGCTAGTGGGGCTTCCGTGCAAAGGTGCTTATAAGAGCAGTTAAGACTGAGAGAAAAGCCAGGACCAGATCATAAAAGACCAGTAGAAACTGCTGGATACTCACCAATTTTTGTTTCTCTTCTTCTTTACAACAGAATGGCTTTTTATTTATTTATTTTTTTAAGTGGGTATGAGTTAGCAATGGAAAACTACTTTTTCTATCCTCTCTGGTAGATATGGGTAGCCATGTGACTAAACTTTGACCAGTGGCATGTAAGCAGAATATATTGGGTTAAATAGTGTCCTCTGAAAATTCATGTCCA